GACTGACTCGCAGCCCTTCACATGAGTTGTTTGTGGCTGACTTGCTAGCCTTCATATGAGTTGTTACTTACTGACTTGCTGCCCTTCAAATCAGTTGTTAGTGACCGACATGCTGCCCTTCATATGAGTTGTTAAAACCTGGTTTGCTGCCTTCATATGAGCTGATAGTGACTGATTTGCTGCACGTCACATGTGTTGCTAGAGACTATTTGCTGCCCTTCACATGAGTTGTTAGTGACTGACTTGCTGCCTTCATATGAGTTGTTAACGACTGACTTGATGCCCTTCATATGGGTTATTAGTGACTGATCTGCTGCCGTTCATATGAGTTGTTAGTGACTGACTAGCAGCCCTTCACATGAGTTGTTAGTGACTGACTTGTTGACCGTCATATGAGTTGTTAGTGATTGTTAGTGACTGACTTGCTCCCCTTCACATGAGTTGTTAGTGACTGACTTGCTCCCCTTCACATGAGTTGTTAGTGACTGACCTGCTTCCCTACACATGAACTGTTAGTGACTGACTTGTTGCCCTCCATATGAGTTGTCAGGGACTAATTTGCTTCCCTTCATATGAGTTGTTAGTAACGGACTTGCTGCCCTTCATATGAGGGTTTAAAAACTGATTTTCTGCCCTTTATATGAGTTGTTAGTGACTGACTAGCAGCCGTTTATATGAGTTGTTAGTGACTGACTTGCAGCCCTTCAAATGACTTGTTAGTGACTGACTTGCTGCCTTCATATGAGTTGTTAACGACTGACTTGATGCCCTTCATATGGGTTATTAGTGACTGATCTGCTGCCGTTCATATGAGTTGTTAGTGACTGATTTGCTGCCCTTCCTATGAGTTGTTAGTGACTGACTAGCAGCCCTTCACATGAGATGTTAGTGACTGACTTGTTGACCGTCATATGAGTTGTTAGTGATTGTTAGTGACTGACTTGCTCCCCTTCACATGAGTTGTTAGTTACTGACCTGCTTCCCTACACATGAGCTGTTAGTGACTGACTTGTTTCCCTTCATATGAGTTGTCATGGACTAATTTGCTTCCCTTCATATGAGTTGTTAGTAACGGACTTGCTGCCCTTCATATGAGGGTTCGAAAACTGATTTTCTGCCCTTTATATGAGTTGGTAGTGACTGACTAGCAGCCGTTTATATGAGTTGTTAGGGACTGACTTGCAGCCCTTCAAATGACTTGTAAGTGACTGACCTGCTGCTCTTCATATGTGTTGTTAGTGACTGACTTGCTGCTCTTCATATGAGTTCTTAGTGGATGACTTGCTGCCCTCCCCATGAGTTGTTAGTGACTGACTTGCTGTCCATCGTTTCAGTTGTTAGTGGCTGAATTGCTGCTCTGCGTATGAGTAGTCAGTGACTGACATGCTCCCATTTACATGAGTTGTTAGTGACTGATTAGCTGCACTTCATGTGAGTTGTTAGTGACTGACTTGCTGCCCTTCATCAATATTCTGCTAGAAGATTCAAAGACCACACAAAAAATTGGTAGTAAAGGGTGGAGGGGGGGGGCCTCGTTCCGGAATGACCTTTTCTTTGTTATGAGGGAAAGGGGGGGGGGCATTTTTTTAAATAAATAAATGCAGAGTTTGTTTCAGGAAAGAAATGAGGAAAGGGGGGGGGGGGGGGTGGCAAATCTAACCAATGACACCATTAGTGCCAGGGACAGTCGAACCAGCCCCAACAACATCAATATTCTGCTAGAAGATTCAAAGACCACACAAAAAATTGGTAGTAAAGGGTGGAGGGGGGGGCCTCGTTCCGGAATGACCTTTTCTTTGTTATGAGGGAAAGGGGGGGGGGCATTTTTTTAAATAAATAAATGCAGAGTTTGTTTCAGGAAAGAAATGAGGAAAGGGGGGGGGGGTGGGATGCAAATCTAACCAATGACACCATTAGTGCCAGAGACAGTCGAACCAGCCCCAACATCCCAATACCCGAGATTATAAAAAAAATAATATTTACATTTAATAACGTGGTTGACAATTGCAGAGAAGATCCTGTCAAACTTGTCAGGAAGTGTGCCAACCAAATGAGCAGACACCTGCAACTCATCTTCAACCTTTGTCCAAGTTTTTTTGTTTTTTTTTAATAACTTTTTTTCGTCTCCCGAAGAATGTACAGTCTGAACACTGAATCAGGAACCAACATTAAGGCTGGCCTTTTGAAACAAGTGTTGAACCAACATTAAGGCTGGCCTTTTGAAACAAGTGTTGAACCAACATAAGGCTGGCCTTTTGAAACAAGTGTTGAACCAACATTAAGGCTGGCCTTTTGAAACAAGTGTTGAACCAACATTAAGGCTGGCCTTTTGAAACAAGTGTTGAACCAACATTAAGGCTGGCCTTTTGAAACAAGTGTTGAACCAACATTAAGGCTGGCCTTTTGAAACAAGTGTTGAACCAACAGGGAATAGGACACTGCTCGTCGAGTGCATATCATCCCGAGTCGCAGGGAGCGGTTGGGCGATTCCATCAGACGCTAAATAACATGATGCGAACGTGTTTCCAAGAACAAGAGAAAGACTTTGATGAAGGAATCAACAAGCTACGGTTCCTCACCAGGGAGACAACTCAATAATCACTTGGATTCAGCCCCTTTCAACTGGTGTTTGGCCATGCGGTTCGCGGGCCCCTTAATCTTCTAAAAAGGTCCGTGCATGTTATGGACTCCAACTGAAGGATTTTTGGACTATGTCCTAAAGTTTAAAAACTAAACTTCTTAATGCCTACAATTAGGCTCAGTCTTATTCAAAAGATTCTCAATCTAAAATGAAAATGTGGTACGATGAAAAGTCCGAATTCAGACAGTTTGCCCCAGGCGACAAAGTGCTTGTGCTTTCGCCGATTCCGGGGCTGGCACTGAAGGCCAAATATTTTGGTCACCATGATGTTCAGTCCAAAGTTAATGACTTAAGTTATGTCATTGAACACCAGGTCGTAAAAGAAAGAAAAGGTACGTTTCATTTACATGTTAAAAGAATATGTTGAAGGAAATTGTGATGATAATCGTCTATCCTCATAAATTTATTAGTATAATTTAGATAATGTTAAGATCACAACTTGTGTAGTTTCTTTGTATCTTGGTATTCAGTCATTTGTCATGTAGTGTTTAAAAAGTTAGCCAAATCTTAAAACAGATTAAATTTACATAAACCAAACAACGGTTAATATATGGTTGGACTTGGAACACTAGAAATCTTTCTGTTTCTACAGACTGAGTGCGATGGAAAATATTACCACATTTATTTTTTTGGGACTGCAGCCTTAGGTTACCCCTTGACCGCATAAGCGGAGTCGGCGTCTTCCAATCATAGGCGTGGTCATGGAAAAATAATCAAATTTGTGTATCCCCTTTCTTTCACCCCTGACCCCTCCTCCTCGGCCCCAAATCCGTAGCCATGAAAAATGACAAAAACCAGAACAACAGACTAATCCAATGTTATTTACGTAGGTCTGGGTATAGATCTACTATGGTACCGGGGGCAGATTAATGATCCGATCATACCGGATTCACTAACCGTTGTGCAAAGATCATTACAGATATCTCCACAGCTGACTCAGCGGAGATTGGCTTCTGTCTCTTAACGAAAATAACGGCCAGTTTATTGACTTCCCGCCATTCGCACGACCGCGCGGCTAGTGCTAACAGCGGCCCGAGACCTGGCCAACTCCGCGCGCCGGCAACAAGAGATCCAAGCTCTTAGCATGCAGGAAACAATCTGGCCAGTTTCAAATTCAAATAAAACCCATAGGGCTAAGGGTTTGTTATTTTTTTAAATTTATTTTTTTAAATCGAGGAATGCACAAGGTTTTGGGGTTGTTTTCGTGTAAGACAAATGCGAAGGATTCTGTTCTCAATTAAGTTGTTTTCAGTGTGAGGACAACGGATTTGTTCCCAGTATGTTGATGAATGTAGGCCAACACGAATTCCCCCGTACGACAGGACGACGTTTGTTTTAGTGTAGCTTTTGCAGCGGTCCTCATTTCTTGGATTTGACGAGCTCGGCGTCCTTGTGTGGTTGTTTGGTGTGTGATTTTTGACGGGAGGCAATGTTCGGTCGTCAAAAGATTTCAAGAACATAACTGTGAGTAAATAAATAGTTGAACAAGATATATATAGGGGTTTTTTTTAGGGGTGGGGGGAGGGGGAATGCAGAACAATTAAAATAGTCGTTTCGACTAAATGCCCTCGACAGCAGACATAAAACTAGAAAAAAACAATTATTTGAAAATGTAGCACTAAAGTGTTCCTAAAGCACAATGTAGCTCTCTCAGTCATTGTGTAGAAGGAAAGGCGTAATTTTAAAAAAAAAATGTCAAACATCCTCCTTGTCATTGATAACAGTTTGTGTTTATTTTGTGTTTGTTTATATTGAGGGATTCTGGGAAACGGTGGGGATGGTGGAGGTAAAGGGGGTTGGGGGGGGGGGCTGGACAATGTTGTCTTTATCAGCTGACAATGTTATGACACATCTCTTGCAAGTTAGAAACAAACTAAACGTCATGCCATTATGTTCTTTTCCTAAAATGCTTCTTATTCATTAAAACGTCTCTGGTCGCTGGTTGAGTGAGCGAGCAGACAGGCTCTATATTTATATTTGTATTTTTTTTTTAGTCGTTTATTTTCCCAACTACAAATTATTTTTAAGGTTAAGATCTGTAACCAGCTATCCTTCATGGAACCATTTCATATTACACTTTCCCTTTAAGACTCAGTGAACTAATTATGAAGAGCAATTCAACGCGTAATTTCTATAGTTTTTGATGGGCTACAACACACCTGTGTTATTTATGAGGGTGGGGTTACGAGCTAAGAAATATTGATTTTTATTTAATGAGTTTCAGCAATGCAAATCCCTTAAGAAAAATATCCATAAATTTCAGATGAGTTTTATAGCCAACACGACCGGCTCTACGGCTCATCACGACTTCAGGGACTCTCACGATCAAGACTTCCCCTACTACCCTGCCGGTGATGCGATAGATAAATACGTCACCCCGGTGCTGTGCGCTGTCGGGGTGACCGGAAACACCGTATCCCTGGCGGTGTGGTTGCAGAGACGGATGCGCCAGTCGTCGGGCTACTACATGGTGACCTTGGCCCTCAACGACCTCATTTTTCTCGCACTGCTCGTGGTTTTTGAACTCCACGTCGTCTGGGGTGTGAGAACCCTCAACCACCCGGTCATCTGCGAGCTGTACCCCGTTGTTTATCTCGCCACGCAGTTCCTGTCGACTTTCCTCGTTCTCGGCTTCACCGTCGAAAGATACATTTCCGTTTGCCATCCTTTCAAACGGGACAAGTACTGCACGGTGAGAAAAGCCAAACTCGCGATAGCTTCCATGACTTTGTTTGTGTTCCTCTTGACAGCCCCCTACGGTTATTTCTTTACCATTGATGACACGGGCGCAGACCTGGAATGCCAGGTTAGAGAGAGCATCAGAGAGGGTCAGTTCGAATCGATCTACAACAGGTACACCCTGAGCGTGGACATGCTGTCTTTTCTGGTCGTGCCCGTGATCGTGCTGACGTTTAACATTCTCGTCATTATCGAGCTGAGGCGGCTGTCACGGCTGGAGCAGGCCCAGCTTCACGGCTCCCCGCAGAGAACGGCCGCCAACACGGCCATGCTGCTGACCGTCTCGTTCTACCTCATCCTCACCACACTTCCGGTGTCCATCACGTACGCCTTTCAAGGAAGTGCGGCCCTCGAACCCGAAGAAATCCCCACCGCCGACAGCCAAGCCCTACAACTCCACCGCACGTACGACTTTGTGCTGAAAATCGTCAAAGAGTACGGGATCACCCACTACGTTTTCAACTTCTTCATCTACCTCATCACGGGTCGGATGTTCCGACAAGAGCTGAAGCGCATTTTCCTGCAGCCGTTTCGGAAGTTGAGTTCGAGTGGCCAGCCCGAGGAGACAGAGTACACCAATGACGGGAGTCGGTTCTGTATGTCGGAGCGCGGGAATCTCGGCAATGGTACAAACGGAGCTGACGAGACTTTGCTTTAAAACATTTAAAAGACTTAACAGAGACGGTTACACGTATCTAAAACCTATATGAGACCTATATTAGACCTATCTGAGACCTATCTGGGAACTGACATGGAGATCTGAGACCTATCTAACCGAGAAAGGACATCGAGACCTATCCGATACCTTTCTCAGACCTATCTGAGAACTGACTTTGAGACGTATCTGAGACCTACTTGTGACCTAACTGAGACCTAACCGAGAACTTACTTCAAGACCTATACTTGAGCCGTAACTGTGAGCCATTGTAATTTTTTTTTAATGTGTCCGTGTTCTCTACAAAAACAAAATACTCGGAGAATTTGGCTGTGAAGCTCTGCTATATAAAAAAAAAATTGTAAAATATACTCTAAGACAAAGCTTTGGATACTAAAGTAAAATATAAATTTAAGTTGTCTTTGATTCCAATGTCATATATATATATATATATATATATATATATATATATAATATATATATAATTATCTACACTTTGCTCCATTATATTGTAAAACATTTAACATTGTCCTTTACTATTCTTTTCTACTGCCTGCGCCATCCATTCAGATAGTAGAACATTAATGAGAAACCCCATGGTCAAGATCCTGAGTGCTCTGCAAAGTATTACACAACTCTAGCATAATATTCAACTGCATTCTCTCACCAATCAATTCGTGTCACGGTTGTTACTTACAAGTCATATACACCACGTCTTCTGATCTCTTACCTCCCGTCTACAAATATGTTCTCAATGATACCTTTCTGACCAGCTATGACAGTTCATATGATAGATGTACTACACAGGCATATTATAAATTCTGGTCGTTGCCCTCAAACTTTGTGACAGGGTCGGCAACCTACGTCACGCGAGTTAAAATTTGAGCACAGATTTTCAGTGGCAAGGTGGAAGACTTTAAAAAAATATGAAACGACCAAAAAATGCGCCTTCATATGATACGATAAGATTAGATAAGTTAAGATTAGTTAAGATATGATATAAGTTGAGATAAGATAAGTTAAATTGATATAAGATAAAGATAAGATAAAGATAAGCTATGGATTACATCCTAATTTGCTACAATACTACCAAAAATGTTCCCGCCCCCCATCCCGCGAAGAAACCTTATAAAGTGTCTGAGGTTAACAGTAGTAGACACATAATGGTTTCTTTTTTTTAACTGATCTGTAATTGCAATATAGCCATTTAACTAATGTGAGGGTTTCATATAAATTTTATGACAATGGCATTAATAGGCAATAGAAGACTTGTCTGGAAAAAAATAATTAGTTTGTGAATTATATTTATACAAAATAATGTCGGTGTTTTTTTTTTTCTAATTTAGATATTAAGTTTTATATATAATTTGTTAAATACATGAAAATGCGATATTTTTGTGTTGTATTTAAAAGTAAATAAATTATATATTTAATTTATCATGATTGAAGTTGAATTATTTCCCAACTTTTTGTTATTGCAACGTGATGTCCACGACGCATGTGTACCAAGGAGCCAAACTTTCACATGGTGTGTTGCTTGTGATAAAGGAAGTACTAGGTGCATGCATTTCTTTTTTTGGTATTTATTTATTTATTTATTTTTTGCAACCATTGGGTAACTGTCATATTCGAAAGTTTTTTTGGGTCCAGTTCAAAGCACAATAATCTATAGTTATCTTTAAGACCTGCTAAGAACATGACGGGTAACGTCTTGGAATACCAAACTGAATGTGACGGCAGGCCTGAAGTCAATGATCTTCTCTTGTGGTCAGATGCATAATAACTGCTTATCTAGCGTACATGAAGTCATCCGGCTACGCCACGTTGAACTAAATGTATTTTGAAGGTGTTCTAAAAGGTATTTTAAAGCTATTTATGTACTTTATTTCGGCACCGAAAGCGGTTCTTTAATATCATTAGATACACGCGGTTTGTCATTCTTAAGTCCGGAAAACGTCACATCAAATTGCGTGATGTTACTATTTTTAGACAATGTTTTCATAAACAAAGCTACTAACAATGTATTTCCGCATATTTATATGTATACCAAAAACAATAAAGCTTTAAAAAACGTTTCCGTCTGGGTTAAGACCCATTATGCCGGCTCACATTAACTTAGAAGTACCGTAAAACTGTTGAGAGATTTGCTAAACGGAATACCACAATGTTCTATTAATATCGTAATGAGCTTGGCCAGACAGTACGCCCGGATGTTCTATAGATAGATTTCAAACATTTATGACAAACCCTATTTACCCCCCCCCCCCTGCTCTCTGTCCGTTACGCCGTAGCAATTTTTTGCTTCTATATTTTAAGAGTTTATTCTGGATGTCAAATTAATTAAATCCATCTCAGAGGGGAAAAAATTAAACACAATGCTACATTACCATCCTAGCCACAATATAAACACCATGGCGCTTATTTCAAGAAAGATTCTTCCAGGATCGCTCTTTTTTTTTTTGTTCATTCACACACACACACACACACACACACACAAACATATGATCGTTGATGGCACACACACATATGATCGTTGAAGATACACAAGCAAACAAACCTAGGATCATAGAAGACATACAGAATCATAAAGCTGCAGCCACTTGGACAAGCTGCTTATGTTCTTAACAACAAGGAACCCACCCCCCCTTCTCCCCCCCAGGGAGAGGTAAATAGATAAAGACGTGACGCCGGTGTCTGGCCTATAGGCACGCCTTCTGTGTAAGAGTTATCTAGCTTGCTGAGCTCGTGGGGGCTAGAGAATGGCAGAGATGTTTCAACGATGTTAAAGTTATTTAGGACTGTATCGATGGCAGCGAGATAACCGATAGGGTATGGATAGTTGATAGAGTGTAGATAATTGATAGGGTATGGATAATTGATAGGGTATGGATAATTGATAATGTATGGATAATTGATTGGCATGGAAAATTGCTAGGATGTGAATATTTGATAGGTATGGATAATTGATAAGATGCGGATAATTCATTTGGTATGGATATTGATAGGATGTAGATAATTGATAGGGTATGGATAATTGATATCCTACGGTATGGATAATAGATAATAAATGCTAGGATAAAGATACTTGATACGGTACGGATAATTGATAGGATGTGGATAATTGATAGGGTATCGATAATTGATAGGGTGTGAATAATTAATAGGGTATGGATAATTGATAGTGTTACGTACTGTTATCAGTATGGAGAAATTAATCTCTTATTTAAATGTATGGCTCGGTCTAAAACAGTACACACAAAAAGACGATGCCATATGATAATTAACAAATAACAAAGAATACGATACTCAAACCAGGACTAATTACAATTAACACGTTATTTTAAGTTAATAATAATAAATTATAAAATCAAAAAGAAATATAATTAAAACTATTGCCTTACAGAATAATGTTTGGCGTGTACCGGTACAGTGTTGAAGAAGATACAATGTCGAAGAAGACACAATGTGCAAAAAGGGTAAAAATGATGAAAAGATGAATGAAAATTAATGGGGCGCCATAACAGATAGGGTATGGATAATTGATAGGATGTGGATAGCTTATAGGGTAAGAAAATTGATAAATAAAAAAATGTGATTTTTGTATGGACTCCACGGAAAAAAGACTTGAGCTCATTCTTTTCTTACGTGTTCATATTTATTATACCGTATGTTTAGCTAAACACGATAAAGTAGACAATGATTTTGGGTCTGACAAAGGCGGGTATAATTGGTTTGGTTTTTTGTGCAATAGGGTGGTGTTGTCTAGCGTGGGGAGTGCAATAGGGTGGTGTTGTCTAGCGTGGGGCGTGCAATAGGGTGGTGTTGTCTAGCGTGGGGCGTGCAATAGGGTAGTGTTTTCTAGCGTGGGGCGTGCAATAGGGTGGTGTTTTCTAACGTGGGGCGTGCAATAGGGTAGTGTTTTCTAACGTGGGGCGTGCAATAGGGTAGTGTTTTCTAACGTGGGGCGTGCAATAGGGTAGTGTTTTCTAACGTGGGGCGTGCAATAGGGTAGTGTTTTCTAACGTGGGGCGTGCAATAGGGTGGTGTTTTCTAACGTGGGGCGTGCAATAGGGTAGTGTTTTCTAACGTGGGGGCGTGCAATAGGGTAGTGTTTTCTAACGTGGGGCGTGCAATAGGGTGGTGTTTTTCTAACGTGGGGCGTGCAATAGGGTTGTTTTTTCTAGCGTGGGGCGTGCTCCCCACAGGGCGCAATAAGCAGAATATTGGGGGAGGGGGGTGCATCAAGTCAAGTCTCTGAGAGAGGAAATTATTTTTGTGTGTTTGTTTTTTTTTTAATGGATGAGAGTGGGGCGAATATTAAAATCATACTGTTTTGAAAGTAAACAAATATAATTTGTATAAGTTATTGCATTAGATTCCTTAGTTTCAATATTGTATGTTTTATCATTCAACGCTGAATCTCGTGGACTTAACAGGTCAAAAATTGAAACTCAATCATCCGGGCGGCAAGAAAAATACTTTTTTTTTTTGGTATCTCTACTGCTTTAGAAGAGCGTGTGAGGTCATTAAAACGTTGTAGATGCTCAGGTGGGGTATTGACTAAAACCCGTTGGGAAGCACTTCAAATCGATATCGTGATATTTTTTTTTCACTCACCAAAAGGATGAAAGAGACCAGGAAACATATTTGTGAAATGTGCAAACACCGAGCTTACGTTTCTGGCCTAAAAGTAAGAGGGCAAACAATATTTTGCTTCTGGTGTGTCCGGCTTCTTTTTCACGACCGGATCTCCTTTACTCAACATGAGTGGGGGTGGGGAGGGGGGAGGAGAGAGCGTCATGCGTGTCTCACTGTGCTCTTATGCGTTCCACGCCGCAGGCGTTGTCGGAATTTTCATTTTGCCTTTACCATCTCCGGTTGTGATTTCAAAATGT